ACTTGTCCCTGATATTTAACCGGTGTTACTAAGCCCTGTGCGGTCCAGTTGACAGTGGCCGGTAGTTGAGTGGGCGCCGCACCGCCTAAAACCTCCTCACTGAACACGGTCTGCATTCCGGCGCCCATTTTGCGCGCCGGCGGGCGATAGCCCTTCATCTGTGCGTTAAACTCCTCGTTCGTGAGATCGGCGAACGGATTGACGCGCAGGCGATGCGAATTCAAGCCCTGATCCGCGCCCTCATTATGCGCCACAATTCCCCGATAATTCTCCTCAAATATTGCCAGACGTTTCGCGTGCTCCTCTGCGGTGTCGTATTTGACGGTAAATTTGTCCTAAATTTTAACAATAATTATTAATTAGTCATATTTTGTGTAAATTTTTTCCCAAAAATACTGTTACCTTAAATGACTTGAATTCTTTCTCGACCTCCTCTTTGCGTATGTGTCGGCGGGCGCCCACCAGACATACCAGTGCTAGGGTTAGTAGAATAAGCTTCATAATTATTTTTTTTGTGGTAAGGTAGTCTATATTATAAATTGATAATATTAAATTAAATATTTAAATTGTAAGTTAATGTAGGCGCCTATATAGGTTTTATGCCACCTGCGAAAATGTCAATTTTAAAATGTTTGGAAGGGATTTTAACAGGGATTTCCAAAGGGTGTCCCAGGGGAGGGTATTTTGATTCCCTTGTGAATACCCCCATCCCAATTACAGAGAGAATATTTATGATTATTTATATGAGCTTATGCTATGTTTGTCGGTGTTTTTCACCGGACCCCTCCCCTTCAGGCCGAGGAGTCTGGACCTTGATTTTGAAGCGAATTTTGCTCGATTGACAAAATAACATCAAGTGTTATATGGGGTGAGATACATCTCATTGATAGACAGAATAACAGCAAATGTTTTATGAAAATAAAAACAAATAATTTATTCCTTTGAATTAATTGAAAACAATAAAACATTTGATACGAAAATTTATAGATAACTAAAAAAAATCTCATTGTGTTTAACAAAACCGATTGTATTGAAACGGTTGAGGAAAGTGGACATCAGATACAATGTCACGAAGAGAGACAATTGGATCCGATTTGTGGACACTTATGCCCATCAGATCCAAGCGATTCATGTTATCATAGAAGTGAGCCATGGATTCAATGACAAACACGTCGAGACTCTGATGACTGGTTTGTCGCGTATGACTGCTCTCAAGGATTTACACATTGAATACATGACTCGCAATCAGTGAATGGTTAGCCGTTTTGTGGATCAGTTGAGACAAATTGGTGCCAATTGTGTGAATCTTAAGCGACTGGCCATTGATTTGCATATCTCTGACGTGAATGTTATGCGAGAGTTGTGGCGAGTATTGGATGAAAACTTTGGGACCGTTTCACTCGTTTGGCATTTAATGGCGATTATCCCGAAGACTGGGAACTAATGGATGAGGCGTTCAGTGAATGCAAACGATTGACGCATTTGAATGTCAATTGTTGGCAATCTCTCATTGATTACGAGTTTTACGTGAAGATCAATGAATGTCTACCGAAACTGCAATACCTATCCATCCGTCGCGCAGTTATTAGCGATCAGTCGTTGGACTCGATGTCTGCGTTCACGAAAATACAGACCATTGAACTCAAAGGTCGCGAAAAGTTGACGCAATCATCCGTTGATAATGTGATTGAAAAGTGTCTCAAAATGAAACACATTGTCATCAATGATAAGAAAATTATTGACAATTAATACTACTTTTTATTATTGATTTTTCAGTCAATTATAACTAAAAATAATAAGCATTCAGTTATTATAAGCTATTTATTAGTTTAGATAACATTTAAATCTCAATTCAATTCTTGTGTTTAATTTCTTATTGCAAAACATGTTTAATATATTCAATACAATTGTAATACTATTTAACGATTATTTGTGTTTTAATTCACAATTTCTGTAATACTTTTCAATATTTTATAATAAAACCATTTAATTCGTCCCGAAGTATAGTTATCAATTATTGAAAATACTATCAGGGTGCAATTAACTTATGGTTGTCATTTTATTATTTATACATTCAATTTTAAACAATAACAATTTTGAATTAATCAGGTACGTAATTTAAATTTATTATAATATAAATAAATATTTATAATTTAGTCAAACATTTCAATGCCTTTTGCGTTTACAGTAACACCAGATACCGGTGCCAATCAATGGGCCACCAACAAGACAAACGGGTACTAGGATATACACCAAGGTCCAATTACGGGTGCATTTGTTGCCATTATCCCTGTCCTCGTCATAGTTATCATCGCAAACACACCGACCATTACTACAGTGTCTGAACGAATCAGACTCTCGACCGCAGCCCAGGATCGTACCGGTCGAGCAGTTGTACGCTTCGCACCGGTATTTATCCAAATGATAATACCTGTCCACTTGACACTCGCACCTACTGTCCACACACCGCTCATCGCGCTCTGTAGTGCCGGAACAGTCGCTTTTGGATGAACACGACTTTCCGTATGTCTTGGACTTGAGGTAACAATTTCTCTCGTAATAGGAGTACCCGTCCGGACAGACACATACGTTGGACAGACATTTGCCGACCGGTAGGTAAGGGGTCTGACAGTCAGTATCGGTCTGACACTCGAAGTGCTGACACGCGCCTAATGTCTGGTTATGGCGGTAGTTGAGGAGACACTCGCACCGGGAGTTAAAGCATACCTCTGCACCATTGCAACTGTATTCAGTAGTGCACACCTTATGATAGGTTTTGGATGTCTGGACACATGTGTCGCCATTAATAGTGTCCATTTGATAGCCATCCTTACAAATACAGTCTCCAGTATCTGGGATACAGGTGCTCTCGTAATCCCAGTCAATACACTCGGAAGGTTTGGTGCATTTATTAGGTTTGCATTCATTATTCGTTGAGTTTAAAATGGTATTGCGTTTACACTGACAAAGACCAAGGTAATAATTGCAATACATGTTAACATGCTTACAATCAGTATTAATTTTACAAAAGTAAAATCTACCAGATACAAATAACTGTTCACATATCACAAGTATTATGAAACTTATTAATATATTTATTAGTATATAATTTATAAACTTGATCATATTTCTATATAAAAAATCACACTTTATAAATATTATATAAATTTTTGTATAAATAAATTCAGGTATATGAATTTAAACTGATTTTAAATGAATATCAATTACTTTATGCCCAGAGTACTTTATTAGTATATACAGTACAATATAAATTTTTAAACAATAGGTTTAATTTAGTACAAAATGTATCAAATATTTTATTTATTATTAATATAACATTGAAAATGATTTCATTGCCAATTGTTAATCAAACACTTATTATTGATAAATTGGTCACCTTGGTAATTAATACAATTGGATTGCACAATGATGTTATAATTTTAAATCTTATCTTTTTGATCTATTAGCTAAAAAATATATAATATTTCTAAAGTAAAGGAAACATTTTATTGAAAGTATACTTGGTTAATTAAAAAACAAACAAAAATTATTTTAAAGCTATTTATTTGATTTATCAAATTTGAAATGTTGTTGAGTTTTAGTTGTGTGTCATTTGTGTGTCATTTTCCCATTTCATTCAAACTGATTGGTGAAGCAGTTATAAAGTCACTAAAACTTGTCTAACAAATGATTTTTATTATCAATTGTTTATCAATTTCTATCAAATGTCTGATTAACAAAACATTCCTATTTGTAATCCAGGTGCTTACCATTTACTACTAACAATTCACATTATTATAGTCTGCTGCTATAGCAGAAATACCCCTGGTATCTAATATTCAATAAAATGTTAAATATTGATAGCAATTGATCAACTAATTGCTGAAAAATAATGTTTATGAAAATATTCAAATTATAAGAAAACTTATACAACGTGATCAGGGTAATTTTGGGACTAAAAAATATTACCAAAAATATTAAATTTTATTTGTGAATACGATATTTGATTTGAACACAAAAATAATTCAATTGATTATATAATATGAAAACTTTTGATTCAAAAGTCATTACATTTCAGTTGACTATTTGAAAGCACCCTTTTTGGAGGCCTTAATAATAAAGTCCTTGAAAATTATAGGATCCATGTCCTTAAAGGCCTTGGTTTGTGTCAATTGTGTTAAGTGTGTCAACGCGTATGTAAAGCACAGGTCCTCGAGCTCCGGGATCTCGTACTTAAGGACAGCCGAATAAATCGTTAAAACGTTTTCGACTGAAATACCGGTGCGAATAAGTCGGACACATTTTGACTTGAGGTCAGTCTCGCAGTAAGATTCGGCCAAATCTAATAACTCGATCCCAGCCTCCGGTGCCACACATACCTCACCCGTGTATAGGTATCGCAGGAATGCCTTATACACGCCATACGAGT